GAAAATTCTGTTATTGCGCAACCTGGGTGGACCTGGAGGGCATTGTGCTAAATGAAATAAGCAGGCACAGAGAGACAAAGAGCACATGGCTTCACTCATTTGCAGCAACAAAAAAGTAGAAGTCTGGCAATGGTGGCTTACACCTTTAATCCCAGTACTCGAAAGACAGAGGCAAGTAGAGCTCTGTAAGTTCAAGGCTAACCTAAGCTACATAATGAGTTCCAGGCCAGCCAGGAATACACAGTGAGATGATGTCCGGGGGTGGGGGGAAGGGGAGACAATAAAAAAGAAAACAGTTGAATTCACAGAAGTGGTTATCAGAAGCTAAGAAAGCAGAATGAATGAGCCAGAATGAGCTATGTTGGCCAGAATTCAAAATTCAGTCAGACAGAAGTAGGCTTTCATGACCTGCACAAACAACCATGAACCATGAATGTTTTCACTATAGAAAAATGATAATAGGCATATAAGCTGATGGATTTGTGAATTATCTTGATTTAATCATCCAACCATGTAACATATAGCGGACATCCCACGTACCTCACAGATATGCAATTATCAAGTGAAACTAATGTTTTTAAATTAACCCCCAATGCTTTGAAGATTGTGTTATGACATCATCATCTAGGAAGTCTGCATCCAAGAACTGCAATGAAAGTCCCAAACAAAACCAACAAAAAACCAACAAAAATCTCATAATGTCTTCAGTAAATTCTCAGTTCTGCTTTGGACCCCATTCACAGCAGCCTTCAGGTGATTGGTGAGCCAGGGATGGAGCATGCTTGTGCCCAGGACTCCAAATAAAACTTAGGATGAATGCCCAATTGTTTACAACAAGTTATGTCACACACACACACACACACACACAAAAAAAAAAAAAAAAAAAAAAAAAAAAAAAAAAAAAACACCAACCTGTTGTATCTACTTGGGCCCTAGCAGCTCAGAAGCCCTCAGATGCCAGCCATAAGAAAGGTTTAAGGGGTTCACTGATAACAATCACTAGGACATCTTCTGCCCCAAGACCTACAGTTCCTGGAAGAGTCCCAGGTCTCTTTGCAACATCACACTTGGTACAGTACCTGAAATAAGTAGGTACTCAATAAAAGTGAGTTGTGTTAAGACAATTTTTTAAAATCTGTTGAGACTATCTTCCCCTTTTTCCCAGGCTGGCCTTCAACCCACAGTCCTCTCACCTTAGTTTCACAAGAGCTGGGGTTAGATCCATGCTATGATGGCCATTTAACTTGTCAATGGATTTTTGAAACAATCGTCTCCTCCCTCTAAGTCTACAACTAGGCCTGCAAGAGGAAGGAGCTCTCCTTTATTCAGTTATCTTGGTAACAAAATTGCTCTCTGGCTTCATTCTGTTAGAATTAAATGAAGTCCCTTGGTTAATTTGTGAGTCAAGCTGTAGTGACACCTATGTTTGCCACTTTTCTGTGGTTGCCATAAACATCCTGACTAAAGTAGCCTAGGAGAGATGGGCTTATCACTGCTTACAGTCCCAAATACAGTCCATCACATACTAGTACCTGTCCATTATGACAGGGAAGTTAGTGTGGCAGGAAATGGAAATGGCTGGTCATAACCACATATGAGTCAGGAAGCAGAGCAATGAAAGCTTGTACTCAGCTCACTTCTCTTTTTTATGCAGTCTAGAATCCCAGTCCAGGGAATAGTGCCCCCTTCAGGGGCAGATCTGTCAACCTCAATTGACCAAATCAAGATAATCCCTCACAGGAGGTTATGCCCAAAGGTATATCTCCCAGGAGGTTCTAGATTTTGTCAGGTTGACAACTGAGATTAGCCATCACAACTCAACCTAGAGTCTAGGAAGATGGTTCAGTTAGTAAGTGCTTCATATGCAATCATGAGAACCTAGATCTAGATATCCAGTGTCCCATCCACCTTTTTTAAAAGCCAGGCATGTGCCTGTAATCTAAGCACCGGAAAAACAGTAATAGACAAGAGGATCCTTGAGGCTTGCAGCACAGCTGGTCTACCTCAATCAATGAGCTCCAGATTTGGTGGAAGATGCTGCCTCAAAAAATAAGATGGAGAGAAACTGAGGAAGATACCTGATGTCAACCAGCAGTCTCTAGGTGCATGTACACACAGTGCTCTCTCTCTCTCTCTCTCTCTCTATATATATATATATAGATAGATAGATAGATAGATAGATAGATATAGATATATCTTTCTCTATCTAGAATACATATATATATATATATGTCTCACACACATAAATAAGTAAATACATAATTTTTAAAGAATTTAAATGTGAAGGAGAAGGCTAAGATTTTTAAAGTCAATATGGAAGATTATCTCTAAGATCAACTGTTTCACAAATGAAATACAAGTTACAAAGATGGATTCAACTTTAGAATTAAGAATTTCAGTATAGACGACTCTGCAGTACTGCTCTTGCAGAAGACCAAGGTTGGGTTTCCAGGTCACACTTGGCAGCTCACAATTGCCTGCACTTCAGCTCCAGGGGTTCCAGTCCCTCTTCTGGCCTTTGGAGCACTGTATGAACATGCTGCACATACAGGGACCAGTAGGTACACACACCCACACCTACACATACATGAAAATAAATCAGTTTAAAAACAAAACAAAACCCTCAGCATCAAAAGTTCAGTGAACAAAACTTGTCAACAAACTTAAGAGTTGAATAGCTCATGAAGGAAATAAATAAAAATCTATAACTAAAAGTATCTGACATGGACAAGCCAAAGGGTGGAAACCGTAGAAGAAAATCCTTATCAAACTTGGAACAAGCATTTCCCTAAGAAGAAGAAAGCTATAGAGAAGAAAGATGACCACACAGTAGTATTCACAGAAATGTAAATCAAACAAAGAGTTTTCTTCTTCACCCATCAGACCTTTGAAAAGCTCTCCTAGAGAAAAGCCTCATTATACAAGCATCCAAAACACAGACAAGAAAGTATACATCAGTTCACAACAGAAGAAAAAAGTCAGGAAACCATCCAAACACAACTGTATTATTCAGGGCTCCCTGGAGAAATGGGATCAATGGAATGTGTATAAAAATAGAAAGCTTTATTTTAAGGAACTGGCTTACATGACCATGGAATCTAGCAAGTCCAGAATGCAGAGTGAACCAGTAGGCTGAAGAACAGCAGGCAGGAGATGCTCCAGTCCAAGTCCAAAAACTATCTGCTGGCAGAATCACCCTTTATTCCATTTGGACCTTCAGCTGAGCAGATGAGAACCAGACACATACTGTACTTTCTCAAAGCTGACTGATTAACATGTGAATCCATTTAAAACAATCATGCTCCCAGAAATACCCAGAGCAAACTTCCACCACATACCTGGGCATTGTGTCCCAGAAAATAGGATGTGTGAAGTCAGATGTCTGAAATCCCTTCCTCATCTTAGTAGCACAAACGATGTCTAAGCCAAACTGGAGCTTTCTCCATAGCCCTGTATAATCTTAGACACAACACTAAGTAAAGAGAAATCAAATGGAAGACTATCTATGATACCACTATATATAGTTCAAAAATAAGTAAAACTAAATAATACATCTCTTAGGGTTACATATGCATATAATAAAGTATAGCTATAAGTGTGATTATAAAAAAACAAATAATTTCAGGATTCCATTTTTGTTGTGGGTTAGTTGGTTGATTGATACTTAGGATTGTACCCAGGGTTTCACACATGCCAAACACAGATGCTATCAATCAGTTACAGCTCCAATTGCTTGTGCTTACCTTCAATAACAAATTTGGTAACCCAATCACAAAAAGACAAACATGGTATGTACTCACTCATATG